TCTTCCCACATGAGTGGGTCGATGGGTTGGATAAGCTGAACGAGACATCACTACCCCTTCATGCTGCCTTCTATTCATCTCTCAAAAACGCCAACATAACAGAACAAGAATATGAGTATTGCCAGCAAGTGTGGGAAGAAAATAACATGCAGACATTTGAAGATTTTCTCGTATGGTACAACAATCTGGATGTGGTGCCGTTTATAGAAGCAGTCGAGAAATGAGTCAATTCTGGCGAGAAAGGAAGATTGATATGCTTAAAGACGGGATCTCGGTCCCTGGTTTGATCCTATCCTATTTGCGATGCTCTCTTTTCTTTACTTAACCAGGTGCTAGAACCTTGGCTGTGCATGTCGCTTCCATCTACAAAGCCACCTCTGTTATGCCACTGGGACTCTTTCCTCACCCTGGTAACAGGACATCTTTCTACGAACTTCCTTCTCGTGATTTACGAACTAGTCACAAACAACCAAGAGGATTTTGCTCGTTACCTATACCAACAACACTGTTCCTGTGTGCCCAAGATCATAACCGCTGCACACAACCTCTACTCCACCTTATTTTATGGAACTGGCTTCTTCTGGGAAGAACTGTGACATACTTGTTGAGAGTTTTCCCCATCCGTCCATTCTTTATTTGCGAAGGCAAAAAACCTTTTTTCACAAAACTCAACGACTGAATATGAATATGAAGTAAATAGGTCGTAAGTATTAGGTTAAGTTTGTAAATAGGTTGAGAATAGGTTAAGAATCCTTGTTAAGTTCGTAAAATAGGTTAAGTTTGATTTTTTTTTCTGTTATTCGATTCTTTTGATTTTTGTAACGTTCTCTGCGAGAAAGTATCCCTATATTGTACCAATGCGAATTTTCTCACTTTAGTTATGTTTAATGTTTGCACAAATGCAGAAAAATGTGTCCAACAATTTATGTCTGGAAAGACTGCGCAATCTGAACTGTTTTTTTTTTTCAGACCTGTAATGCAATGCCAGTAATTTTATTTGAACCATTTCAAAAAGGAGGAGTGTGGGAGGAGTGTCAGGATAGCCAGTTTTATTGGACATGTGCTCTAACTTACTAATGCCGCTATGGTTGACAAACTCATTCAACAAGAAAAGCTGAATCCTTGCCATAGGTGTGCTATTCAACAGCCAAGTCAAAGCCAACATTCCCGCCTGATGATGGATAAGTGATGATGAGGGAGAGTTTGTTGATAAAAACCGGGAAAAAGAACTTAATAGAGAATTGTATATAGGTCGCTCTATTTCAGGAAGGTGAGACGGCATCGCTTAGTCTTTTAGTGCAAAAACGTGTTTTTAGACACTTGTTTCATTTTATTTTGTAGAGTTATCTTACGTGAATTGAAAAAGTGCAAGTACTGTAGATCAGCACAATGGCTACCCTTTTCCAACCAACCGTGTTCACATTCTAATGTAAGGGCACTACAACCAAGGACGGTTTTTGATTAGCAAGACCACACGTTTCTAGTTGTTTGTGTTTTAAGTGACAATAAACATGTCTTTCATATTTTTTTTTTTGTAGATCGTCTTTACTGAGCAATCGATGTCGAGCTATTTGCATCTCAACCCAGTGGATTAACAGTAATGAAAATGACGTTTGCAATCATTGCTACCAAAGGACAAAGGACATGCAAATTTTTTCGCTGAACTCAGCAAAACAAAATAGGGCAGCTTTGAACAGTGACCTTCAACAACTTTGACCTGATCACGTTCTTAAACTTGGTTTGACCAGTATGAACTTGTTTTAGTCACGTGCTGACCTTGAATAACGTTGACCTGTCCGAAATTTATTGAAGAATTTCAAGAAATTGCGGGATTTAACCCTGTGACAATTGCGAGCGCCTGCAATTTGTGCTGGAGACGTGAAAAATTAGAATAAGATTTGATTGCCATTGAGCCTCAAAATGGTTGGAGAGGAAATCGAGTGAACCACAGTGAAGTGGCGTTAGAGTGGCTGTATTTTGAAGACTGGAAATTAGGTGGGGCTGGTCGAGTGAAGCATGTTCGCAATGGTGGTGAGGTGAAAGTGTTGACGCCGGCAGCAGAGTATTTTGTAGACGGGTTTGATGCAGAGACCAACACGGTCTACGAGTTTCACAGGTGCTACTATCACGGATGCAAGCGATGTTTCAAGAAACGTGATTTGACAAGAAATTGTCATTTGGACCACACTGGAGAAGAGGTGTACGAACCCACACAGCGAAAAACAGAAATCCTGTGATGGACCGGTTATACCATCATTGAGAAATGGGAGCGTGAATTTAACGAGGACAAGAAAACAGACCTGTCATTGCAAGAGTTTCTCAAGACCAATGAGTTTGTGGCGCCACTCAACCTACGAGAAGCGTTCTTTGGTGGACCGACCGGAGCAGCCTGCCTCTACACCAGAGCAGAAGGCGAAGACATTAGATATCAAGATATCACAAGTTTCTCACATTCAAGCTGCTGTTGACACCATAGCAAGCCGTGCGACCGCGGATAAGTTTCAACTAAACGAGACAAAATGAAAAGAACTGCTTATAAACTTTAACACTAAGAACCCTACTTCTTTCGATCCAGTTGTTGTTAATGGCATGCCTATTGATTTAGTTACTAGTGCCAAAATACTAGGCCTTAACATCTCCAATGATTTGAAATGGAATTGTCACATTGACTCCATTAGTAAAAGTTGTTTGCAGAGGTCTAAATTGTGTTTCTACTTCAGTTGCTTACTTAGATGGCATTCTCACCCTTAAGACCTCTACCACCACTTCACAGAGAGCCCAGAGAGTCCAGATCTCCAGATACATTAGAAGCATTAGCCCTGTTGGCCGTTCCTTATCCAGGTGAAGCCACCCAGGAAAACCTGCCACCCTGCCACAGTGTGCAAATCAAGCTCGAAGCATGTGAATTTGAAGAGGCGAGACATGAGAGTAAAAAAGAACACAAAAAGAAATTTTGGTAGGTCATGAAAGAATTCAAGTTGAATTAGTTTTGTGTTTCCGAACCACGTGTTGGCTCGTTTAGAAACAAACGTTGTATAGAATTATCCTACTAGTTTGCGATGTTTGAATTTATGTTTTGCCATGTTCGCGCACAGTAGCCTCAATGTGTTTTCTTCTTGTAGACAAACGCTGCGTGATCTTAGATGTCTTCCTCTCTGCCCCTACAC